ATCCGTTAAAAGATTTGATCATATAGAAATTTGGGCGCCCTTTTAATCGAATGAAATATTAGAATACATGACAGAGAAATTTGTCTCTATTTGTATGAAATGTCAACAAAGCAAACCCACAACCAACAATTTGATATTAACAAAAAGAAATTAAGGCCTAGATATTCGTATGAATCTCAAATAAATAAAGATTGAGGATAACGAAATGAATTTGTATTAATATAATATGATAAAAAAACCAAGACTAATACAAATGATTTATGAGATGGAAAAATAAGAAGAATAGAGTGTAGCTCGCAGTATTTAGTTCTAGGTGATTTTCTAGGGTAAAAGTGATTGTCTCTCCCCCTCGAAGAAGACTTCTTCTCTCTTTATATAGGCGGTCAATCAAGTTCAACCGCTCATATATTCGCGTAGCACGTTCTCCTCACAATCCCATATTTTCAGCACGTGCTCTGAGATCTCTGGTTTGACTGATTCAAACTGTTATCCGAGTTCTTCTTCATTGTGCAGCTCGTAAGTAATTTCGTTAACTATTTCATTCAGTCCAATCGCATGTTTCATCGACTGGACCTATAGGTGGACATATTCGGCTTTATGGTATTGGGCTTAATACGAGCCTATCACTATATTCCACACGCGTTATCCCAATCTCGCAACTAGCGGTATATTCTTCTAGCTGTTCCTTCAGACCTATCCATCATATTTTGTTCGGTGGACCGGCCTTACTACTAATGGACCTCTTTTGGGTTGTATTTGATATGCCAAATACAACACCAACAATAGGCCCCAGCCCTTTAAGTGATAAGTATGAAGCTTGAAGGGCGAGGTTTTTTAGGTGTACTAACGGATCAGCCCGAATCGAATTTTGAAGAGTTCACGAAGATATCTACGCATTGAATATCATGGCTTTTGCGAGGTAAGAAAGACTCTAGGTCTACTTTGCCAGGTTCGTTTTAGAATCGATAATTGCTTAAGTGCTTTTGGCATTTTAAGCATTATTTTTGCGCAAACTATTTTCTTACATATTGCCAGCCCGAGATGAATTGTTGCACGCTGACTTGTAAGCATAATGTTTGATCGCGACGCTTTCTTGATGGCGTTTGTTCGCCTTTGTGCGTGGTTGCTAGCTAGTTAAATGTAATTTCTAGCAGGCTGATTTTGTATGTCGGAGTTGTTACAAAGTTTGCTGGCTCGATGCGAAGCATCAAAAGCTATTTTGGATGATGCTAGTTGCTATGTTTGATGCGTCATTGAGTGAAAGATTGAGATTTGTCTAAGCCCTTAGTTGTGCAAGCTTTGATTGCGGCTCTTGAATCCCTAGCCATTTCGAGGCTGGTGGGTGCGAGGTTAGACTTGGCATGACCGTTTCGAGGTCGTTGGGTTCGAGGTAGGACTCGATATGATCATTTCGAGATCGTTTGCATTCGAGATAGGACTCGAAGTGATCGTTTTGAGATCGTTAGGTTCGAGGTATGACTCAGCATGACCGTTTCGAGGTCGTTTAATGTGGAGATTTAATTTTTGACTTTGCCGTTTTGAGACTGCTAAATATGAGGTAAGATTCGACTTGAGTTTGGACCATTAGAGGCCGTAAAGAGAAACTCAGTATGAGTTTGAGCCATTTGAGGCTGTGTGTTACGAGGTGAGACTCGGCTTTGTACAATTATTTTGAAAAATGTAATAACTAAAAGAGAATTGAAAATTTGTTGTATTAAGTATAACTCCTTACATTGAATGGGAAAAAGAT